CTAAACTAAACTAAACTAAACTAAACTAAACTAAACTAAACTAAACTAAACTAAACTCCAGGTCATGGTTGTCCCAAGGGTGCTTTTTCAAGAGGCAACTGGACTAGATTTTTCCTTGGAGACCTTTTGCTTCTGGCTCTTTCGAATAGTGAGGAATGGACAGATTTATACTTCTTGCAGGCAGCTGGTCATTTGCATTCTTTTTAGAGAGTCCTTGAGGCCACTTGGAGGTTTATTGTGTCTTCAGGGTCACCCAAATAATACAAATGGACACAAAACCTTTTTAGAACTACTGGAAGTCTTCTGTTAGTCCGCAATTTGTCAGGAAAACTCTTCATACTCCCACACTATTCGAAAGTGTTCATCCCAAAGTGCATAGCTAAATGTCTATGGAGGTTCTTGGTCATTCAGGTCATGGATGCTTTTTCAAGAGGCAACTGGACTTCGTTTTTTCTTGGAGGACTTTCACTTCTCATCCAAGAAGCTTCTTCAGCTCTGGCTGGATGGTGGGGAATGGAAGGATTTGTACTGCTTGCAGACAGCTGGTCATTTGCATTCTTTTTAGAGAGTCTTTGAGGCCATCTGGAGGTTTATCTGTGTCAACAGGATCACCTGAGTAGTGCAAATGGATGTAGAGCCTTCTTGGAACTGTTGATAAGAGAGTGTTGTACACTGAAAATAGATGATGCCATATCCCTCTCCTATTCCTATTCATAGATTGATAACTGGGCACAAACCAATCCGACCTGGCGAGGCAGATAGCAGGAATTTGAACCTGAGGTGATCTTCAATCCAAAAACCACATCTCATCAAGGTGTTGCTTCTTGGGGTCGCTGGGAGTTGTAACTGAAGCCATTGGGAAGGCTGGCATGGATCTGCCCTCCCCCTTGCCACTTGGGCATCGTCTACATCTCTACTTTGGTCAAGCAAGCAAACAATCTGAGGGAAGACCACCCAGAGGAGAAGGAAACAATACCAACGTAATCAATTCATTCTGTCATCCCACATCTACAATAGGCCAGTAAATTGACCAGTTCCGGTTTGGCTTCATCCCTAGTCTGCTTCTCTATTCATAGCTGGATTTCCAGGTTCTGCCTTTGAAATCCAAGATTAAACTTTTGGAGTCAAAAGGAATGGTTCTGAATTCTTCAAGAGAGAGTGAACGAGGGGCTGGGGTTGAAGGGCAAGAAGGTAGTTAGGTTAATAATGGGTGGTGCTTAAATGAAAAAAAATTCATTGTGTGATTTATACTGTAAATTTAAAACTTAACATTGACTAGATTTTTCACTTTAGAAACATATCCCCCGCTCTTTGCCTCTACTAAATAGGTGTCACATTCTAGGCTAAAGCTGAACTGTCAAACTCATTTCTTTACAAGAGAAAAGGCAATTTTAAAAGCTCTGTGTTAAAAAAAAAGGGGGGGGGGGAGACACACAAGAAATTGTATTAGCTATAAAAGTGGCACATTTACTTATACTGAAAAGGGGAAATGCCAAGGAAATGCACAAATTACTGAATCATTGCATAAATCATTAAGGTAAAAACAAATAAACCATATTAAGGTACAGATCCTCGACTTACAACAGTTCGTTTAGTGACTGTACAAACTTACAATGGCACTGAAAAAAGTGACTTATGACCTTTTTTCACAATTACGACCTTTCCAGTGTCCCCAATTCCCCATGGTCATGTGATCAAAATTCAGCTGCATGACAACTGGTTTCACATTTATGACAGTTACTGTGTCCCAAGGTCATGTGATCATCACATTTTGGGACATTCTGACAAGCAAGGTCAATGGGGAAGCCAGATTCACTTGAAAACCAGGTTACTAACCTAACAACTGCAGTGACTCACTTAACAACTGAAGCAAGAAAGGTCATAAAATAGGGCAAAATTCACTTAACAAATTTTTCAGCAACATAAATGTTGGGCTCTATTGTGGTCATAATTCAAGGACCATCTGACTTATCACCACAAGGGGAACCAGAATTTCCATTACTAAGCAAGTGGTTGTTAAGTGAGTGGTGCCCAATTTTACGTCCTTTTTGCCATGCCACTGCAGTTGCTTGTGGAATAGAACGATCATATAGAGTGATCCCATGATCCCGGGACACTGCAACCTTTGTAAATACATGCTGGTTACCATGTGCCAAAATTCACACGACCATAGGGATGGTGCAACAGACATAAATGCAAGGACCCACTGTTAGTCAGTTTTTTCAGTGCCATGGTAACTTTGAAAGGTTGTTAAATGAATGCTTGTAAGTTGGGGAATATCTGAATAGCCTGGTATCTTGTGGGTATCTAACCAAAATCTCTATCACCAAACAATTTCTTGATTCTGCTTTAAAAACCAAATATTAGGTTCAACATTAATAACATGCAGAAGTGTTAACACTTCAAAAATGAAGACTATTAAAGGAGAGAATGAAGAGAAGATTATTTACTTGGAAATGTGTGCTACAGGATACATGTGTTCAATTAACTATTTGCCAAATTGTGAACCTTTTTTTTAACCAAAAGAGTGGAGATGGGATAAGATGGAACTATTATCTGCCTAGCCAGGAAGTGTGTCCTTATTGCACACAATTACAATTTTATCTCCCTGTTATATTTGCGTGAATTTGGAAATGCAATATACAAGAGCAAATTAAATATATATTTAATATGCATGGGAACTACCTTTTCCCCATGACATAGCCAAAAGCAGCAGGAAGGAGCTGGTTTTAAAACTGCCACATTTTCAAAATGTGTCTTTCTGTATGTGTAAAATATATCATCCTTTTTCATTGATCACATGAAAATATGATAACTCTGGTGAATCAAGCCTAGATACCAACATCTCTTTTAAGATTTCAAGTGAGAAGACAAAATCTTTAAAAGATTTGATAGTTCTGGGACAGGATTAGGCTAAGGCCAAATAGGCAGTGTCCAAGAGAGCCAAAGCTAAGGGGGAACCAGTGCCACCCCTCCTTCCAAATCATTCTAAAAAAATCAGATGATTTCATTAGGTGGAGGTGGTGCCATCAGTCAATGTGGCCAAAGGTGCTACATATCCCTGAGATTTTCAACTACACACTCACGTATGTATGTTCTCCCACACACCCCTGCAACAGGGACCACAAGCAGTAACTTCATGGAGTCAGGTTGAAAATCATAGCCCCAATGCTTCTTAATTATTTTGATAACATGGAAATTATTTTGAAAACATCATAAATGGGCTGGGTGTATGACAATGAGTTACAAGCTAATAGTACTCTGTGTGCCTAACACAGAGTCGAAATTGGCTTGGATTGTTTATTTATTTATATGATTTAAATGTCTTAAGAAACACAAGTTTGGGTAGCTGATAACAGTTGTATAAAATCTAATGTCATAAAAACAGTAAAAGCAAAAACAAAAAACCTGAGGTCACAACCAATCTTCCTCAATGTATCCAATACCAATATCTTCATGCTCCAAACTCACCCTATTCCAGTGCCTGGAGGTGGAGCCAACTCTTTACTAGCCCTCCAGTAAAGGTTAAGGCTGCCAAACTTTAGGCTTTCCAACCTTTCTTTCAGTTATTCAGTTTCTAATGACTAAAGCTGAAGAAGAAGAAAATAGATTGTCATGTAGCTTCTCCTTCCTTCTATTTATAGTCCACAGCTCTTTAAATGATCCTTTGGGCCATCTGATTTG